TTCGGCTAGCTAATCGGAATTGCCAAATACTCTTACCAGCTGCCATCTATCGCCGCCCAAAGTACATTTTATTAATTTTTCGGTTTCCTGATTGTAGAGGGAAAATATTATTTTAATATTATTAAAGAACAGTAAAACCTCGTCCTAAAAGGCAATTGGAACGCGCTACTGTAAATGCGAAATTTGAAGCTCTTTTCACAGACAACTACCGAGTTTTCGATATACATGATTGGAAGTCATTTGACATTAACTCAGAAATTCAGTAGTGTTTACACATTTATGGAAATGTGCGTATTAACGGCGTGAGAGATATTAAAAAAACATTAGCATAATTATTGAAAGAAAAAAACAACTCCGAAATGGACTTAACTTCATATTTAAGAGTGCAATTAACAGTACCCCTTCGAAACGTGTGAAGGAATAATTTGGAGCCATTTATGAGAAAATGACGTTTGAGCGTTTCTGAAAGTGCGGAATTTTGAACTAGTTTGCACAGAAAATGGATGAAATGAAATTGATTCGAGAAACTTTATATGACATTATTTAAAGAACATGTACTCATGAATACAATAATGCGAACAAATTGCCGATAATATAAATATTAACATGAGAGACAAGTCAAAAAAGTACATTATTGTAATTTTTGAAAAAAAACAAAAGAATAGAGCAATATGGCGTTAATGCCATGTTACAGAGTACATTTAGAACTATCCCTACCAAAAGTGTAAAGAATTTATTTTTAGAAAATCTGTTTTTTATAATTTTTAACAATTGCACATATTGCTTGCAATATTGCGAGGAAAATACTAAAATTTTCAAAAAAAATGTACATGTTCTTAATGGAAGAACAAACTATGGATATCTAATTCTATTGGAAGAAAAAATCTGTATGTTCAATGATGTAGTTGAAGTTGTAGGAAGATCTCGAAAAAATTCAATGTTTTGCAATTTTCGAAAATTCAGTGAATATCGGACATATCGCTGTGGAAATAGTATTTTACTTCATTCTTACAAGAAATTTAAAGAAAAAATTTGGAGCCGTTTTTGATAATTTTTAAAAAATGTCCTAAGGGCATCTTAAATCTTCGACTCGGTCCCGGTGGAGAGGGGTTTCTTCAATTTGAAAAAAACTCCTTCGCATTGTTTAGGCGCTAGTAGTGTTCACAGACGGACATACGAAAGAACGAGCGGACGTTTGGAAAAACAACAACACTTTTTCTGTATGTGGGAACCCCAAAACGTATATTTCCGTTGAAATCTCGAAATCGAGTTTGCGCAGCGTGATAAAACTTTCCCTATACCACGTATATACTTACTCCATATATACAGGCGCCAATCCACGGTGTGTGTATGTGAGGAAAATCCTCCCCTCCCCCAATTTTTCAATATCTATTAATTTTAACTTTTCACGAAAGTTTTTAGTAACAAGTGGTGCTAAAACAGCAATTTTCGCCCTATTTTCAAGAGAGAAAAGAACTCAAGTTTTCGAAAAATTGTACATGACCTTATTTCAAAATCTATCTTTGAGAAACATATTTCAGTAAGGGAGAGAAATCTCTATCTTTAATATTTTAGCTGTAGGAAGACTCTGAAAAAATTTTCAACTTTTGCAATTTTCCAAAAATTATGTTTTTAAACGAACATGAGACCTGCATCATATTCTTAAACGTCCTTCATTCTATCTAACAAAAATATTTAATCAAAAACGATGGAGCTTTTTCTGTCCCCGGAAATGTCCCAAGGAATTCATGTAAAGTACCCCCACCCAAAAAAAAATTGAAAAATCGGTTTAAAATTCCAGGGATCGTGATATCAGCAAGATCAATTAGGGAATATCAATTTTGGAGAAAATTGGCTGAACGGTTTAGCTGTTAGTGTTATTCACCGACTGACAGACGTTTTGCTGTCACTCAGTACTTCCGTTTCAAGAACCTACAAAACATAAATTCTGGCTAAACCATATGTTAGAGGATTTTCCTAAATTTAGCAACTAGATTTAACCACTTAACCATTTAACCACTAGTTACCAAGATCCTGTTTTCGTGCAGCCGTTTCTTCGTGCAGCTTTCGCTCTTCTCCGTAAAACTATTTTCTGATAATAGGGAGTTTGTGCCACCTCCCACGTAAAGCTTCTGCGCATGCGCAGTTTAAGTTTCGCATCACTTTTTAGTGCACCTGTGCAATATCGATAGTGCTTTACGTTCGAGGTGGCACAAACTCCCTAATCATTAAAATGAATAAAATCGTTTCGCAGCGTGAGCAGTTTGGCCTTCATCATTCTACATAATCTGTAATACAAGTATTGTATGACATATATGACCAAAACATTATGAATAAAAAACTATCTTAATGTACCGATCACACTCGACTCACAATCGGGCATTTATAGAGTATCCCTAGAATGGTCATACATACTCGTAATAACTAAGGGGCGGATTTTGATGACGTAAAATATCGCTAAAAATGATCAATAAAAATCTCTTTAAATGTTTTAAAATGCCCCTAAAGAAAAGAAAAGTGTCGTATAATTTTTTATCAAAACAAATTCAGATAAGAAAATCAAGCAGTTAGATATGTTACTGATGTAATCGCAGTGTCGGATCGAGGGGGGTATGCTCCCCCAAACAGAGGCCCAGAGAAAAAAAAATGTAAAAGTGCAGGAATAATAAAAATATGAAACATGAGGGAATCTTATAGAAACAACAAATATGTGTCGAGAAACCTACCGACCGCGCGTTCTGTCCTTTGCCGTTTAGTTGCGAATGGGAATCCTCAATCTCGCTATATTTTAGTTTAGTGGTACGTAGGCTATATAAAATGCAGCTTTTGATAAATTTCTACACTATCGAAAGTCATTTGTTTCTTTACTGTTAACGTTATAAATATTAGCTATAAAACAAATTAAAATATGTATTATATTCAGCATAAAAAATATCATTTAAATAGAAAAGCAACTCCTCTCCCAGAGATACATCCTAGGTGAGCACCTAATTCTATTACTTACATAAAAAAAAAAAGAAAAGCATTGCACAATTACTTATTGCTGGTATGTGAAGGGCAGGTTTTCCAAGGGAGACACTATGGAGGCAGATTCATAGCTTCCGTCCTTCACATACATTTTGCGTGGTTGGATTCTATTGAACTGTGGCGGATTTAAAACTATTGATCCGGAACTTCAATTTTAGGTCAATGTAGCGGACCTCGTTTGAATGCTGTCGATTGCGTGTCTACGATGTAGGAATCAAAACACGGGCAAAAGTGGGGCAGCGCAGCGGGAACATGTGTGATTGGTGTCACGGCAAGCCCCGCACACGAACAGCCAGAATGAGCTTTCTTCCAGACACCCGGCCACACGGCCATGCAGGGATACGACCAAGCACTTTTGGGTTGAAATCTATCTCATGACAAGGGCTCTATTTCTGATTGTGTCATATTCATACTTTTATTGGTTCATTCTAGACGTAGCTAATTTGTAAATTGATGTTTATCATGACATATACAGTAGGCAGGGGCGGATCCAGAGACAATTTTTGGAGGGCGGGAGGGGTAATTCAGAATTTTTTGGCCGAATGTGTCATTACATACTTTGTAAAATATCCCATGTTACACTCATCTTATCCTGCGATACGATTTTATTAGTTTTAATGATTACCCGAAAAATTTTTGCTCTAAAAGTTCGTTAAAATTAATAGTTACAGAAAAATATTAGTGGGGGGGGGGAAATTACCCTTGCCTAGAAATGTTATTGAGCCACTTTTTGTCATTGTTTGCCATTTTTAGGTAATTTTTTTCGACATTAACGCCGTTTTACGCATTTTGTTTCATCAATTCAGTGACACATGAAAAAAAAAGTTTTTATTATATCATTATTTCAAGCCAAAATACACTTCCCCGGTGGACTCTTGTTTTTCGAACTCACTCGAAATTACAAGGATCTCCATTTACTTTCTAGGCCTTTTAAAACTGACGGTTGGAAGATCGGAACTAAGGGTTACATTTCCTCCTAAAATAAAGACTATGTTACATATAACTTTATATACTTCAATTTTATTTCAAATTGTAAAATTCATAGAATATTTTCATACAAATTTTTGAGTTTTCATTAAAAAAAGGTCATTTTCCCTTATCTTCAGACATTTTATAGGTTATTTTTCTCTTACTTTTAAATGATTTTGTAGGTCATTTTCAAAGAATTTTTAGCTCAACAGAATATAAGCCCTGCTCATGATGTAAAATGTGTTACTTACCAAATGGTATCTCTGACACCCTGGGTAAAATTAATTGTGCCACCACTATACATAGATTGCAAATAAATTTCAATGTTTTGTGCTCTTCAAGATAGTACACTATACATGTTTGTAGGCATTTTGTTTTATAAAAAATGTAGGTATAGAATATTTATTCAATGCATTTATGCAAGTTTGAAAAGAAAATAGGTCTTAGAAAATGTTAACAGGAGGCCAATTTATAAATCAATAACTGAATGAAAGCAAACATTACAATTAGTAGTTACATTATATCTTTGTATCACATATTTTTATGTATAAAGAAAACATAATAATTATCTTTGTGAGAGTAATTTGAGCTATCCATATAGTTTTTACACAATAAGTTTGTTTTGAAGCATAACAATTAATGAATTCTTCATAGTTTGCAAAATATCTTTGAATAAATGTAACTACTAGCAAGAAAATTCTCCACAATAGAATTTTTACTTAACAACAGATGCTAATTTTCCCTGAAGGAAAAAAAAAATAATAATAATAAAATAAAATTGATTTGATGAACTAATTACGAAAAATCACAAGTACCTAGGGAAGATGAAATAAAGAGCTAAAAAATGTGTACTTCAAGTATTCAATGTACAGGCTTTTAAAAGGAGAAGTGCATATGCCATGGAAAACGTTTTTGAATCAACATCTTGATTACATGCATTTTGCTTTGTGATGAAATTTATTTTGGCTTTGGCATAAATGTATTGTACTGGCTTAAAAAAGGGTAAAATTATTTGAAAACAAAAGCCTGGAGATAAAAATAAAATACTTTACTAACACTACTAAACAGTTAATTGCATTTTAAATTTATTTTCTTGTGTTTTATTTTCACTTGGGAGATTTTGGTTATTTTAATATGAATCAGTCACACCATTAATTAGAAAATGAGATACACTGAAAAAAATGTTATGATCAATAAATCGACAGTAGTGCAAGTATAGTTTCCTTCTGAATTCACAAGTATTTGGATTAACATCTAGGTCACACATTTATTGAAGAATTTTATTTTCTTCCGTGTCAGAATTTGTTCGACTCAACTGGTAGTTTTGCATCTATGGAACAAATTAAATGAATGCAGAATGAAGGAAAAGGCAAATATTTTTGTATAATATAAAACTTTATTGATGAACTGAGATACCTACTCCAATCTCAGCACATGCTATTTGTGAAAGTGACATTACCCATCAACTACAATTTCTGAACCATTTGATTCAACTCAATTTTTTTTATATAAGAAAAATTTACAATAACAAACAACCCTTATTCAACACAAATTGCAATTGAAGGTAAAAATACATTAGAAATCTAGAAAGGTAGATAACAACATAATTAAAGAAATTTATAATACAAACAAACAAAAATTCGACACTTAATACACCACATCTGAACAAGAAAATTTAAGGTGTTAATTTTTTGGTTTTGTACTTCAGAAAATATTAACACACTTTCAAAGCTTCTACTTGAAAAAGATAGAACTGAATGAAAAATGGAATGAAATTATTTACTTGAAGTTGCCAAGGGCAATTGGAAATCAAATTTCTATTACAAAAACAAAAAACGAAAAAAATATACAAAAATATTTTACAATGAACATTGTGCAACATAGATCTTTATTACAGACAAAATGATTTCCACTGTCTTGTCACAACCTTTATTTAGGCATTGATCTCTGCTTGGGTTGGAAGATAAATCTTAAATCAACAATAAATTGTAATACTGCGTTTAGAATAATGGGTTACATTCGGTTTAATGAAAAAAGGAAATGTAGAAGAGCAAATAAACCTTCTAATCAAAACAAACACTCATTCAAATTTACTGAAGGCTAGTGCACAATCATATCTCTTAATTAAGTCATTCAGCTTGATTTAGTCATTAAAAGACAATCAAACTTTTGGAATATGGTTACTTCCTTCAACTGGCATTCTAAAGATGCACTACTATGATAACAGGTGATTAGCTTATCAACATATTTCACCTAGGAAATATGGCTAAACTATTTTGCAACCAATGATATTTTTTGTAGAACGTCAGGCTAGAGTTATAGTATCAGATTCTAAATGAAACATACAGTCACTTAATTATTCAGAGGAGTGAATTACATATCTGATAAATAATACATTTTCAAAATGCTGAAAATTTTTAGTTATAGAAGGAACAACATTTTATCTCAATGACTAGCAACAACAACAAACAGAGCCATCTAAACGAGGCCATCCCGAACGTGTAACTTATATTTTTGGAAACACAGAAGTTGAACTTCTGTGTGAAAATTTAAAGCAGATTCACGTACACTAATCCAGGCATTTTTTCAGACACAAATATTTTCCATACAGTGTCAAAACTATATGCATCATTGTGAGATTTATTGCAAGGATAAATGCAGAGGGTTTACTAGTTTACATGTGAACATGATAGAAAAAAATCATTGGCAAGATTTTAAAGCTGTAAAAAGCTTGCCTTATTGGGAGAATGTTAACCATAAATACTCACAAAAAATCTAGAAATTCTAACAAGTACATGTAAAGTCATAATGACCTTGTCATAATGATTAAGAAAAATATTTGATACTGACAATAAAATTCTAAAATTACCGAATATATTGCACAATAGTTATGAAATATAAAAGCAGAAACGTTTTTTCCCAGTCTAATTGGAAGATCTGGTCATGCTGCTGCTTCCAAGCAGTTTTCTTGACACAAAACCAGATTACAATACTTACATTTCTTAGTTGTATTCTGATAGAAAATTTTCAGTTTCAACAATTGAATCACATCGTCACCTAAAATATATTAATTGTTCTTTGTAGATCAGTAACAAATACAAGTAACAAGAGGAAGTATAATTACACCCGATCGCTGATACAGCATTTCTCTCACTTTTTATTAGGGTTGTGGCTCTGAAGTTTCTTACGATACCTCAGATTGGCCCTATATCAGGAACGCAAGGTAAGTAAATGAAGCTTCTCTGTCTCCGCCTTCAAGATCATCAACTCATCTTGAATCTTGTCAGTAATTGTTTTCCTAGCTTCTTGTGCAGACACATTCTTCATTTTCAAAGAATTTACTAATTCACTAAGGTCTATAGGTTTCCCATAGTTCAAAGTAACTTTGTTACGCATTTTTAATACATAGGGTGGTTCATTGGGCAGAACTTTGTCCATGCCTATATGCCACATGGGAATAATAATAGGCAGAATAGGGGATTCATACACAAGTCTTCCAACACCCCATTTGAATCTTATAAATTCTTTTGTCATGTTGACCCTTCCTTCTGGGAAAATGTGCACCCATTCTCCTTTGCTTAACCTTTCCAGACAAAAGTCCAAGGCTTTCTGATATGCAAAGAAAACAAAATCATGAATTAATATTAAACATTCACATTACCTTAATAATATACGAGTAATCATTCTCCCCCTTAACCAATAAAAATAGTCATAGCTACACAATGTATAACCTTCAACCAAAAATAGAGAGAATATTTGTGTAACAGCCAATCAGACTAATTCTAAATTTATGAAATTAAATAAGGTAACGAGATGTAAAAATATCAATTGCAGTATCATGTTACCTTTCAATCAACAACCAATAAATGAATGCAAAGAATGTTTTTATGAACTTGTTAAAAATTCCAGAAGAATGCAATCCCTCAATAGTTTGAAGTATATAGAATTCCTTCGTGATTTGATTAACTAACCTGGTATACTCCTTTGCCTCTAATCACTGGTACACACTTGCCCAACATAAAAAAATATGAATGAAATACATTGGTGAAACATATATCATGAGCTGCCAATGACCAACGAGTTTTTTGGCGATTAAGATGTTGTCTTATATCTAAAACTCCTGAAACAACAAACAGCCATTTAATAAACTTTTGAATAGTTGTCTACTCAAATCTAACAGAGTGAATTACTGTGTACACATGAGTAAATGTTTTTGAAACATATACCCCACAATCCTGGATCATCAAAGCAAGAGTGGTGATTGGAGACGGTAAGAAGTGGAACATTTTTTGGCCTTTTATCAATATTTGTTGTGACAATATCTTTGTTGTAAACTTGGGTAGTATTCAACCATTCTGAAAGTAAAAAGTGTTATTAATATTATATGTTAGAATTAGAATTACAGTCACGTTCGACACAATTTACGTGTTATGAAATATTTCGTAAAGTCATAATTATGTTGACAAACGTGACCACATAATGACTTTCACTTTCAACTACCTTACCCAGGAGAATTTTGCTGAATATTCCTACTGCAGCACAAGTGATAGAGCTGGCTAAGTTCCAAAGCACTGAAGGCTTCCTCAACTTCGGAATTATCCAATCAACGTCGTATCCCATGTTCAAAAACCATCAACTCGTTTCAATTCACAGTAAACACAGCTCACACACCGTCAGATAAGAGCGCACGATCCCAAGTAGGAGACATTTTGAAACAGCTGGGAAACACAGTACGAGAGTTGTGTAAGGTAGTGCCACCAATGGCTGCTAGTGGAGGAGGGTCCAGAACCAATATAGTTTGACTCTTGTCACAAAGATAGCGCTGAAAGCGCTATTTGAGAATGTGGCGCGAACAGACGGACCGATCGGCGTAGTTACTTCAGAGACGCGGTCCTGTTCGGTTCGCTCACGTTGTGTGATGTTGATATTTCAATTGTGAAAAATCCTTACATGACATATGACGCCCCCCTATCGCGTGCGTTACAGTAAGCATTACTATTTCCTGCCTGCTTTAGAAGCGAAAGAGGTAAGCTCGAGCACATTGTTCGCCCCCTCGTGACGTATTTTCATCCGCTACTTGTCTTATCAGTGTAGTGTTTTGATTTTAGAAATGATTATGTGCTTTCAGTGTGTATAAAGCAACGCAATTAGCACATATAAATAAAGCTTTTATTAGTGTAAAGTGTGATTGTGTTAGTGCTTCAGTGTTCGTAGTGTTGGTATATAGTGCACTCGTTAGTGTTGTGTTTTGGGGGTGTGCGGAGGTGCGAGAAAACAGTTGAAAGGGTGCGGACGCTGACACCTGTTGAAGGTAAGGCATCATAATGTAGCGCGCAAGTTAGAAAATTAGTATAATTCCTATGTAGAGTTGGTAGATTATTTATAAGATGAATGTGACTGATAATGGTATCTTGATTGTGTTTTCTCTCATGCTTTAATTAATTTCATCATTATTTTGTATTTAATTAATAATGCATTTATTTGGGGAAGAGACAGTTTTTAATATAAATGAGTTTCGTGTTTTACTTTCATATCCAAACACTGACATTTAAATAGTTCCCCAGTCGCGGGTTACTCAATATTTCTACCCCCATAGTAACAATGAAAATATGATAGTAAAAAAAATGTACACACTCAAAAAGTTTTCCGATATTGGTGACGCTGCGTTTCAGTATGGAGAGGGGTAGCCTTTCTCAATATCGTAAAAGAGATCTGGCCATCTCATAAAAAAATTCTCCCCTCGACGTCACATACAGTTTCTGGTTTTTGACTAAAAATGAAACAAATCAAACTAGATTCACAATTATACCTTCTGAAAAATCCAAAAACAGAACATTTGAATTAGCTTCCTCTAATAGAAACAAACATCATAACTTAACTAGCGTATCCGCGCAACAACTCTCGCATGTTATAGTTCTTAACGTCATTAGGCCGATAGACACCAATAAACCAAGTCTGTTATTTGTGTTATTGGCCGTATGTGGTTCAATACTTTTCGTAATATCATACTCTGATACGAAAAAATACGTAAATAAGAAATATTTGCTTTTAATGCGGAGTGCAATGCCATCTTTCATTTCAATACGATTCGATTCTTCAATGCATCAGACAGTCTTTTATTTCGATTGGATTGTCGGTTGCATGGGGTCATGGTGGATGTATTCATAGCTCCAAGGTCGCTTGAGACGAGGAACTTTTGTTTCTACACACATTTAAACAGATGTTCTACATTTTAAGACGGTAGATACTCCAGGCGATATTTCAGAAATTGTAAGTGGTGCAAGTTTTCGAGTTGTTACCCTTGAAAAACAAGATAAAGTATAAGAAAGAATACAAGATTTCGACATTGGCCGCAGTGTAAAAGTATTGACAAAGAAAATGAAACAGGTATGCTGGTATTTGCGAAAGAAAGATTGGAGACCTACTCCCCCCCATCGTTGTGGACAAAATTTTCAATGTTGAAACTTATGTTTACTAGTAAAAGAAAATGTTGACATGTTAAGTATTAGTCTTCCATTTTTTTTTTTAATTTTATGTTTCAGTTAAGAAACTTTATTTAGTAAGTGAGATCTGAATTCATTTTATATACTCTGAAAACAATGCTAGTTGAAAACTGTGGCGTTCTGCTCTCATTGAAAGAACTTTGAGGTTAGGAGTCCTCAGTAACAGATATCGAATATCAGTAGCAGATATTGAACATCAGTAGCAGAATCGGACATCAGTAGCAGATATCGAACAATCGGTATCGAAAATAATGAAAATTTCTGATCATTAATTCAACAGTCAGCACCGACGTGGCATCAACATCAAGAGATTTAAGTACGTCCAGGTCAGAAGCTTCTTTCCTTTTATGAAGGACGAAAAATTAGCAATAATAATAATAATAATAATAATATAATAATAATAATAATAATAATGGTAATAATAATAATAATTCAATATTCATGTTTACTAATTTAGAAAGTATAAGTTGAAAATTAGAATACCTTAATTGAAGTGTTGAGCATTACTCTTGAATGTGTTATTTATCTTGTTTCTGTATGTTCCTTATGTTGTTTGCCATTTATTTTCGAAGATTTAATACATAATTTGAAGATAACATGGTTTCTTAACGGTCGGAAGCCATTAAGATTAATTTTTCATTCATTTGTTGGGTAGCGTTATACAGATATGTTTACAAAACTGTTTTTCGAAAAAAAAAAACCCATCCTCTTCCGTATTCTTCCATGTTTATATTACATTCAAGCAGCAACGAAGCGTCATTAACGAAACGTGTTTATTTGTTTTAAAACTTGTAAAGGGTAACTTCCAATGTACTAAAAAAACATGAAATAAAAATAAAAAACTATGCAATTGATTTTTGACACATTTTCAATGAAAGTTCATTCAGCCACTAGCTAGTGTAAACAATACTTTTAACTTCAGTTGATCAGTTACTTCATTGCACATCGTTCGAGTTGCAGGCAATTCACATAGAAAACAAAACTTCGAAGCGTTTTCTCCGCCCTGCCGGTTTTCGTAAGTTCTAACACAATTTGTTTCTATTCATATTAAATTTTTCAATTTTTGCACTGTTGGGTGTAAATACTTTAGAGGAAAGACCGAGCGTTTCTGTTGAAAGAAATATACATTAATATCTCTTGAACTCCTTTGGCAAAACCCTTTAGAGCCTACAAACATCTATAAGTACTTCATGCAGAGCCTTCGGACATACACTGAAGTGGAGCAAAAACCTGCGGATGCGATGCGGCCGAGGCCAATTCAACGCTCTCTTGTTTTGCGCCCGGCAGCCGCTAAGGACCTTGGCCGCCCAGCGGTGGCCCAGCCTCTCTGCAGCGGGATGAGCGGTGCGCATGTGTTCGTCTTAACCTTGGAGTGGGCTTTCTCATCGTCACACAGTGACGGATACTGGAGCATTTGTAAGGAAAGCGCACAGTTATAATTTTGTCCCGGGCCGCTGCGCCGTGGAAAGCAAGGGCGCTCACCAACGATCCACCGAGGGCTGCAAATTCACTCTAGGGAACAGTGTAGTTATAAGAACCTTGACGAACAATCTGCGGACATTAATTTGAGGACAGTAAATGATTTACAAATGTTTGATGGACCGTCGTGGACCAGGCCAAAAAGGATCAGACGCCCTCGGCTGGCGGATTCCAGCGCTCGGTTGCCACCCGACAAGGTCGCTGGCCGCGGGCGTCCCGGAAGCACTGGCGGATCGGGCCTTGACGCTCCTCGCTGGCGCCGGCCGGCCAACACCACGCCCCCGGGGGCGGACGCGCGCTGTTGGAGCGGGCACAGCCCCTACCAGACTCATTCCGCAAACACGCCCGCCATGAGTGCCCGTCCCCGTCTGCCCGTCCCCGTCTGCCCGTCCCCGTCTGCCCGTCCCCGTCTGCCCGTCTGCCCGTCCCCGTCTTTTTATCAACGTTTTTAATGCCTTTTGGAGTAGTGAACGCCATTTTAGATACATCACCTCAAAAAATGTGGGCTTCATAGAGAAATTCCAAAAATTTCTAAATAATACTTTACCTTCTCACTTAATGTATGTTTTACATTAGTTTTTTCAAAGGCAATTTAGCCGCAATTATCTCGACTTTTATTTTAATAATTTCTTTACATACCAAATTAAAGAATTACGATACTTTAAATTTCTGTCTAAATGTTACTTTGACAAAAGTAACATTTCGAATTATTTTTAAGATATATGAGGAAAGCAAAAAAAAAAAAGGCAAAATCTTTTTTTGTTGTAATTTTCTCCGAAAAGCTGACACTTCTCCAAATGGCAAACCAAGAATTCCAATTCACCCCCCCCCCAAAAAAAAGAACATTGGGAAAAAAGATTCTGAATTTTTTCTGAATCAATCTCTTGTAAGCACCGGGTAATACACTGCATCAATGTCGGGTAAGTGTGCTAATTAATCGGCTACTCCTCACATTAGCCATGTTTCGAACTTACGCCGTTAGAACTTTGATGTGCACTGTGCTGTGATACTAGATGAATGTGTCATCGTCGACGCTGTAAACTGTTTTAAAAGTACTTTCATATGTTGAAAATTTCTTTCATGCTCCATTTCTTTCATGTCTTGTTTTCTTCAAATATGTTCTTACAGTATCTATCGTTGATCTGAACAATGAATAGTAGTATCTCCCAATACCCAGTGGCCTTGTAAATTCTCTCTATTCGGGATATTCTCTCTATTAGGGCAATATTGCAATTTTAAAATTATAATCGCTGTATAAATACTTGGATGTACGAACGATATAAATAGTTAGAATTTACTACAGCTATATTTTTTAAGTTTTGTTTGATAATAAATGATCGCCCGGAACCAGTTCTTCTGATGGTAATATACGATCATTCTCAATTAGTTCGAAAAATTCTGTCGCAAAATGTTCTACAATTATATTTGATTCCACTGAGATTCTTCACGGCCATATTTTCGTCCTCTAATTCTTTAAGATTTTAGAACATCAGAAACTCAGTTGAATATATGTTCTGAAGGGGAATATATGTATATGTATATATTTAAACATTAAAAGGTTACTCTCGACTTCGGCGGGAAGTGGTACCGCACATCCACACCCTCGGGAGTTACTCAAATATTGTATAGGGCATCGTTCT